AACACAAATGAAGTTATAATGGTAAATCGACTGCTGAATTTATGTTAAAAAATATCAAACTTTCGATTAAAATCGTCTGCGGTCGCCTAGCAACACTTACTGTTGCCAAGGCCAGAAATATAAATAGCAACCCTCGTATTTGCGTAAAATCTCAATTAGCAGTTTATAAAATGAATTTGCTCATTTCATTTTTAATATTTGTTTGTTGCTTATTTTCTGAATTTTTTGGCATATTGAAACAATTAGAAGTAGCACGAACAATTATTTTTGCCAAAAGTGACATTAACCATCTTTGATTTAGATAATATAATTACAATTACAAATTTATTGATAGTTAGGCTTCGTTTTATATAATATATGCTTTTAGATTTAAATACAAATAAGTATCCTTTTATCATAGCGTTATCGAAAATTTGCCTTATTTCCTGTACCCCATATAGGATTCATATAATACATGCTAGTTTTATCGGATTTTATGTATGCTTTGAATTATCGTCAAAATTTTTCACTGGTTGTCACAGTTTCAAATTTCATCTAAATTTTGAAAAATAATGCTTTTGTGTTGCAGTTAAAATTGCAATACATATTTTGACCATTTATATAAATATACTTAAGAATACAATCTTCATTTGAGCTTGTGATCCAATCATATAAATATGCTAAACAGTCACATAAAAAAGGATCATAAAGAAACTGCTTACTTACATTTTTCTCGGCTTTGGATGCATTTTCCGTATGAACAAAATATTTCGTAAAACTTTTCTTAAATAATGACTTTGTAGGTACTTTTATAGGTTTTTTCATTTTTTCAGGGTTAACTGATAAATTAATCTGAAAGATATATTGTATTTATACAAAATGTAACAAAACTAATTAAATGCAAGAAGTGATGTAACTAAAAAAACATATCTATCACAGTACAATGTGGGGTTTTATAAAAGCAAAGAGTGATCTTGAGAAGAAACGTATTTTTTTTACATTACCTAATATCTTTTTTTCGTTATAATTCGTTGCAATACGCAACACTATTAGAATGCAAAAAAAGGCTAGAATGCGTTTACGTACGAGCTATAAAAGGTATCTAATGCAGAAGAAGCTACCTTTTTACAAGAAGCGATTTTCAAACAGGGAGCAACTCAGTTGAGAAACTTTAGGAAGAAAGCGAAAAATTTTGCGACATATGAATATTTCCCACCCCCTTTTTTCACATGTCTATAATTTTTCTTTGTTTTATTCTTCATTTTGAACTTATATATATATAGATTGGCTGNAATTCAATATATAGAAAAATCGGTATTTTATTACTTCAATGCAGACTGTTAGTTATCATAATTATCTCATACTCATAATTAATAAATTTTCTAAGTAATAAATTGGATAATTAATTATTAATTCTTAATTAATTATTAATAATTTTTTAATAAACTAATTGATAATTTATTAATTGATTTGCAATTACATACTCCAATTAATTTCGAAACTTTTTTGAAGAAAAAAAAAATTAAAAAAGATGTAAATTTTTTTTTAAAATTAACCTAACAGGTTTTTCTGAAAAACTACAGATATATAAAATTTTCGAAATCAATTTTGACAATAAATATGCATTTTATAGTACGTGAAAGTACCACAAAATTAATTGGAGTATGAGATAATTACAATAACCAATAGTCTGCATTAAAATAATAAAATACCGATTTTTCTATAAATTGAATTATTTTTTTATCGCTCATAGGACCTTCTATGGGCCGAAACGAATATTGCCCCCTAAAATTATTCCTCATAAGGCATACATCCCACTAGTTTATTTCAAAATTGGCGAGTCACACTTCCTAGTTTCCCTTGTCAGTTGAGAACTTTAGGAAAAAAGCGAAAAATTTTCTGACGTCACCGTGACATTTATGTAAAGTGTATATTACAGCGTGTGGTCCAATCATTTGTGGCAATGCAACAAAGGTTTTTTGCCCCTCATTATTCGTCTTTATGCGAAACCGATGCATTTTCTCCTTTCTTTTCCAATCCTTCTTCATCATATGGTGAAAATTGCTTTGTGCATTTATATGATATATATATAAAGTAGGGAGCCGATTCACTGGATTATCCATTTAACCGGATTATTCAAGGACCATGTATTTTTCCCCACTTTCTCCAAAAAAATATTCATCGTGAAAGTGCATTGTTATTTTCAGAATATCTGAAAGAATTCGAAAAATGTCTTCGCTTGTCCCTCACTGGCCCAGAAAAGAACCTTGCATTTTTTCAGATCACTTGTGGTCATATGTGGGGGGCAAGTAGTTTGTAATAAAGGAGCATTCTTCTAATAAAATTTTAAAAATTGAACTTTTAAACACGAGTAAACTTTTGAAAATGAAAATACGTATAGTTGTTTTAAATGAAACAACTAATTTCAATTACTTTTTGTTTCTCCCTAGCAGCGATACGTGGGGGAGACAGTTCCTTAACTTGCGGGCATGATGTTTGGAACCCATCAAGATTTTCCAAAAAGTTTTGTGCTTCATTTTTAGGACTGAGTACCTGAAAATAGAAGAGAAATTCCTTAGTGATGTAGGTATAAAATTTGTTTTCAGAACGCTGTTTTCTAAAGAATTATTTTCATTTAAAAGGAAAATAATTGCCTTAAATGATATAACTATTTTTTTTTTAATTTTAATTACTTTTTGTTTCTCCCTAGCAGCGATACGTGGGGGAGACAGTTCCTTAACTTGCGGGCATGATGTTTGGAATCTGTCAAGATTTTCCAAAAAGTTTTGTGCTTCATATTTAGGACTGAGTACCTGAAAATAGAAGAGAAATTCCTAAGTGATGAAGGTGTAAAATTTGCTCGTAGAAAAATGTTTTCTAACAAATTATTTTCATTGAAAAGGAAAATAGTTGCCTTAAATGATATAACTATTTTTTTTTTAAATTTCAATTACTTTTTGTTTCTCCCTAGCAGCGATACGTGGGGGAGACAGTTCCTTAACTTGCGGGCATGATGTTTGGAATCCGTCAAGATTTTCCAAAAAGTTTTGTGCTTCACTTTTAGGACTAAGTATCTGAAAATAGAAATGGAATTTTTAAGTGATGTATACCTCCAAATAGAATAATAGCTTTTAGAAAACTGTGTTCTAAATAAGATTTATTTTTTATTTAAATTAATTCATTTTGAACTTTAATCTATTTCTTATCAGGATAATTAATAAAAACATACATCGTTAAGGTCATACGAGAGTGTGATGGAACTAATGCAAAGATACCATCAAAAAATCTCTGCAAAATCTATTAAAAAAATTTCATGAGTTTATCAGAACTTAAATTGAATAAGCAAACAACTTTTAAATAATCACTACTAAATGCAGAGGTATTTTATTTAGTAGCGATTCTGGACTTATTCTGATAACGGTTAAAATTATGTTATGTGATTAAATTAATAGCAAGTAATAACTATTCAGCATTTGCAAAGTCAGTTAAAGTCATGACAACATCTTAGCATTGTATGATCGAAATAAGCATTGTATAATCCAAACGATATGTTATCAACGATATTCTATCTATCGAATTTTATCATTATAACGAATAATTTCATAATTTTAACGAAGATTCATAATTCATAGTCCTACAAAAAAAAGTTTTTTTTTTTAATATTAAATTTTGATGTAAAAATAAATAGAAAGGAAGGGCATCTTAGACCGCATGTACAATGCAGAAAAAAATGGAGTCACTCTGAATGACTTCTAATCTAATGATCGGATTTGCACGTATTAAGATTCAGTCTGAATGGTTTACGAGGATGATTTCAAATATGCTAAAATAATATGCAAAAGACAGTTTAAGTTAGAAAATCAGTCACAATAACGAACTTTCTATGCATGCATTTTCTTTTATCATTAGATTAGGATTTCTTGCCCTAAACCCATAAAAATATATGTATATTACCCTGAAAATATACATATTTCCCAAATTCTCAGGAGCTCTTAGACAGATTTCGTTTAAATTTTGTATTTTTCCATATAAAATTACATTCGTTTTAATGATGTAAACATTTGTAAACTTCGCAGTTAAAAGTTTTTCTACTATTAATAAATAAAATAAAATATAATAAATAAATATCAAAAATTATTTTTTGCAAGGAATTGTCTTCGGATAAACGAATTTTATAATTGCAGGCAAATATTTTTCTAATCGCTTAAAAAGTTCTCGAAAAACGCAGAAAGTAAAATTGACGTTAAGGGGTCCAAATTCTCGACCGTTCTCCTGATCGAACTCTTAGGACCATACTTCGCAGTTTGCTGCTCCCTTATATTTTAGGAATCGAGAATCATAATCCTTTTAAAATAGGCATGTTCATTCAGAAAAAATACTACATTTTTGTGTCTGCTTTCATATTTTAAAATTTCGTCTGCCTTAACTAATTAGAATAATTGATGTCACCTCCCTGATTCATTAAGATTTAGTCCAAGTGTGCGAAAATGTGTGAATTAGATCAAAAGTTATTTAAGGTTATTCGATTTCTTTCTTTTTTTTTTTTGCACTGTACACGTTACTGATCTAAGATATATGCAAGAGGGCCCAGTTAGCACAAATATATTTCTTTGTACATGTAAATAATACTATTAAAAATTGCATGTTAAAATTCTTATTAAAAGTACGTATGTTCCTATTAAAGCAATACATTTTTTAAATATTCCTACAAAATATAATTTGAAATTAAGCTTACTATTAATTAGATTTATCTTAACTCATTCAGATTTAGTTAAACTAATAATTGTATTTAATCTCCAAATTCAATCCACTTAAAAGAAAACTAAAAATAAGTTTTAACACTGTGAGTTACAATACATGGTAGTCTAGGGCAGTGTTCCCCAACCTTTTTATCACCGCGGACCTGTCAACGTTTGATAATTTTACCGCGGCCCGCTTGGGGGGGGGGACGTTTATTGTTTATATTTTAGATTATTTTGATTTATTAATTTTAATTTAATTTTATTTAAAAATGCCTTCAAAATAAAATACAGTTACACCAAAAAATAAATATAAAGTGATTTAACATTTTAACTTACTAGAACGTTAAACCCTGAATTTGTTTCTTTGCAATGAGACGGTTCCATCTGGGGGTAATCGTTTTAGAACGTTAAAAAATTTATGTCACTACCTTCAGGAGCCCCTTTTTTTAAATAAATAAAATTTTAATGGAACACAGATATTTTTAATTTTTGGTTTTAACCTAGGAATTTTAATTCAGTTTCAATGAAATGGGCGGCCCGGTACCATTTGATTCACGGACCGGTACCGGTCCGCGAACCTGGGGTTGGGGAACACTGGTCTAGGGTACAACACTGAGTTGATGTTTTTCTGAAATTCATAACGAAATTCATTCACAAAGCAATTAACTAGACTAACATATATAATGCAATTCCCATTTCAAGTTTTTTTTAAATATTTCTTCCTAGATAAAAAAACACCAAAACAGAAAATTGGTGTAAAACACGATATTCTCTCTGTTGTGAGTAAAAATGCATGGACGAACATATGTCTCTCTTTATCAAAAAAAATCAAAAGGGACAATGCTCAGTGGTATAAATGTTGTTGTTGTTGTTGACGTATGCCTGTTTAGGCAGAGGGGGTGCGATTGTTCTTATTTTCCAGTGGCGCCATCTATGGCTAAGAATTTGACTTCTGCCACACCATACGTCGCACCCGTTTATATGACGGACCCATTCATTCATCCACAGATCGTAATTTTGATCTGAATCAGAGAACGATCGATCTCCAATTCAGCACTCCCAGAGGTATTGATTTGTTATGGGAGCATGGAGGACTTTTGCGACTCGACAGATTTAACGTGCATCAGTCACTTTACTACACAGGGAGTCTTCGGCGGCGGGTTCGAACCAACGAACTCTCGGACATGAGCCCAGCGCCCTACCGACCGGGCTATCCCGGTCCAGTGTTATAAATATAAAAAAAATAATGAAAAAAACTCGCCAGAAATCTGAGCGTTTTGCTATATTATGTAATTCTTAAGATTTTGGAGGTTCATTCATTATGATGCTCAAAATTTACTGCGGTTTACAATTACTACAATTTATCGGAAAGAACCGCGATGGCTCGGATTAGAGCACTTGCCGTTCAATCCAGTTTCGAATCTCAACATTGGCTGGTTGAAACAAATTCTGCTCCCAGCTCGCATTGACCACAGTACGTGAAGTATCCTCAGTTGTAGATAAATCATAGGCTAGATACCCCTTTCCATCGGGCTCACTGTAGAAAGTTTTTGAGCTTTTCATTTTCATGCAATGCAAATGCGAGTTAGTTCAACTAAGAAGTCTCCCACGAAGGGTAGTTTGTTCCAATGCTGGATCCGAAAATTCCCTTGTCTTCTCAAAATCACAAAGCAACGAAGTTCAAACGTATGGACTGCAGATTCATAGTCGGAATCTTACAATCAACAGTTATAATATAAAATATAATTTGTCAGTAAAAAAATGGTTATATTGATGATATCTTGCAAGCTATTATAAGAACACTGTTATAAATGAGTATCTATTTTCAAGATTCACGATTTGCTAATATAATGTCAATTTATAAAAATTTCAATGCGAATATCAGAGTTTTCATGTTTTCATTGAAAGTTAATTTTAAATAAAGTAAGTTCAAAATTCTTAAATTTAGACTGGGAGAAGAATTGGGATTGAAAATTATCGGGATGAGTGGGGAAATGACTGGAAACTCCGATTGTGTGGAAATTAGTTCTGTTTTCTGCGGACAAACTCTGCTTTACGTTTAACTCACATTACTATTTAAGAGGATTGACCTACAATATTGACGTGACGTTGACCAAATAAAAAATAATTCAAAGTATAGAAAAATCGGTATTTTATTACTTCAATGCAGGCTATTAGTTATTGTAATTGTCTCATACTCCAATTAATTTTGTGGTACTTTCACGTACTATATAATGCATATTTATTGTCAAAATTGATTTCGAAAATTTTATATATCTGTAGTTTTTCAGAAAAACCTGTTAGGTTAATTTTAAAAAACAATTGACTTCAATTTTTTTTTTAAAAAACTTTCCAAATTAATTGGAGTATGTAATTGCAAATCAATTAATTAATTAATAATTAATTCAAAATTGATTAATAATTAATTAACAATTAATTTATAATTAGTTAATTTTCTGAATAATTTACTAATTAGCAAATTAATTAATTATCAAATTAATCGGATTATCAGACAATTACAATAACTAATAGTCTGCATTGAAGTAATAAAAAACTGATTTTTCTATACATTGAATTATTTTTTATCTCTCACAGGACCTTCTATGGACCGAAACGAATATTAATTAATTTATTAATTAGCAAATTAATTAATTATCCAATTAATTACAAATTAATTGGAGTATGAGACAATTACAATAACTAATAGTCTGCATTNTTATCTTCCAAACACTCGGGAAAACAAAATCTAACAACTTGATCCCATGAAATGATCGTTAATATCGTCAATAATGAAAATGAACCTAGCGAAGATGATGAAAACAGTGACGATGAAAATCAACATATAAAAATCTCTCACACAGATGAACTTAAAGCTGTCGAAAATGCTACTGAATACAGAACAACAAAAAGAGGCGACACCAGCCTTCCTGTTATCCCTAAAAAATAGCGAAACATTGCTGCAGAAAAGCACCAAAGTTATGTAAAACAAAAAACGATTAAGGACCTTTTTTTAAGTAAAAACTCTTTAATTCTCGCAAAGTATACTTTTTAAGTTTTTTCAAGTAAGCTTTTTAATAATAATAGGAATTATATGTGGTATACTCGTATAAATTTTATATTTCTTAAGTATTACATTTATACCAACTCTTTTTTTATACTCTTCGTTTTAACCGAGTTTTTCAGTTATCCGAGTTAGTCGTAGTCCACATTAACTCGGATAATCGGGACTCTACTGTATTTGCAAATATTGATATTATATTTTATTCCGCAACAACTGTTAACGATATCAAAGCTATTTTTCTATTCCACAAAGATATCATTTAGCGATAGCGCGTTTATAGCCAATGATATTTTTTAAAATTACCTTTCGCTGAAGAATGGAAGATGGTGGTGAAAAATGATGAAATAGCTTGACTTGCTTGTATTCTGGGATTCCTGATTTCCAAGGAATAGCGAGTGCGCTGGATTCTTTCAGGGGAACGATGGTTCTGAATCTAGATGGTTCAGCATCCTGAAAGACAGATAAATAAACTGGTTTTTGATCTTCTAAACTCATCTCTCCCTAATTTACAAAAAATCCTTCTAAAAACAATCATTAGAGAGTAAAACAGAAATAACTGAATTGAATGGAGGAGACGCAGCAAATGGTGCGAGCTTTAAATCCTTAAAAGGACGCTATAACACGGGAGAAAATTTTAATGGCAAATTCTCTTTCACCTTCCATAAGTAATTTCAAATTAAAAGTTTAAAAAAAATGAGTGCAGGTAAACCTAAACTAAATCATGAAGTTTCTAATGATGGATTTTTTTCCTTCAAAACATCAAAATGCTAACAAATTATTACAAAATTACTTTCGTAATCTTGAGAAAACCTGATATGATTTGTTTGAGAATTGATATTCTGAGAAAAAAATTTCTGCTTTAGAAACTTCATGGTTTACCTGAAATTGCTTTTTCTCGGTGAAACAGAATTTGCCATCACGTCCTCTTAAAACCATTCATTAAACAGTTGAGTTTCTTGAAAAAATTTAAAAAGTCCAATCTTAATCTTAGAAGAAATGGAGATATTCCGTCTTTTTTTCTAACAAACTATTTAGAGTTTAACGTTTGAAATTTCTTTAATTGTAATGCAAAATATTTTCTAAAGCTGTGGCTATTGAATTTTTCCCCGAAAGGAAAATTCAAATTAAATAAACATTTTAAAATAGAAAGTATAATTGGTGCATTTTGGGTAGAACCATATCCAATAAGAGTGTTAACAGTCATTTATTGAATATTATCACTAAGTTTTTAATATTTTCTATTGTAGTTCGTTTTTCTAACAGAAAAATGTAAAGAATTATTATTGAATAAAAAAAATCATGAAGTCACAAGGAAACTGTTCCAAAAGCCGGCAGTCAAACCATTGTTTACATTTCAAAAGATGAAGAGATTTGAAGGGAAATTCGTACCATATGTGGTTTAATGGCATAAAATTCTAAAAACGGACAAGTTGTGCCTAACCATCGGTTTCATATAAACCAAAAAAATGCAATAATAATAAAATAAAAAGTTTAAGAACTCCGTTTTTAAAAGGATCTCTAGAAAAAAAATAGTTTCATTTTTATCAGACCTAAAATAAAAACAACATAGGATAGTAACAAAAAAAATTATAAAAGACGCACTTCGTTTTAGACCTGACAAAATATTATTTCTACTTTTTAGTCAAATTGAAAAATATATAGTTTTTAAAATTCTTGTGTATTTTCATTCTCGAGTTTGTTACTTTATGTCGGAAAAATTTCGAAATTTCGATTGGCAATAAAATAAAGACATGTTTTACCTCTCTTGTAAGTAACTAAAAGTGCAAATCATAAACACCACCACCTCTTAGGTGCTTTCGTGATATTTGAATGAGTATAATTTATATATTTAATGCAGAATAAAAAACCACAACTGCAAACTTCGCAAAATCAAAACTACTTTACATCAAACATTACAAACACCATCAGAATTACATACATCTAGAACTACATTATGAATCAAGAACTACATAATGAATCAAGAACTACATAATGAATCAAGAACTACATAATGAATCAAATACATAATGAATCAAGAAATACATAATGAATCAAGAAATACATCCCTCATCCATCACAAGACAATGCAAGACAGAAAGCTTAATTTATTTCTTCTCCTAATATAGTTTATAAATGCATTTCAAGCATTGACCTAGATTTCTGGTAGCTTTTTTACATTATTCACCACAAAAATTGTACATTTAATAGTCTTCCTGTTGTTCCATCTTTTTCAAATATTTTGAAACCATGAAGGTTTTTTTAAATTTATTAACATCTTAAATTTAGTTTTTCTTTAATCGCATTGGTTTAAAAATTTTATTTTGCATTTTCAAACACTTTTAATCAATCATATTATTTTAACTTAATATCAAAATTTCACTTACTATTTGATTTTGAATGAAAATCGTTGAAACGTTGATGTCTTCTATTTCCTCTCGCCAGTATGGGAAATCCCAATACTGCGCCATACTGAAAACAAATTGTACTGATGAAGTTAAATACTATTCTTAAATTAATCAAGTTTTATTTGTTTCATTTATTTGCAATTTGGATGATCTAGATATGTATGAAAAAAATTATAGTATGTAATATTTTTTTGTTCCCAATACTTATAATTATTCATTACTTGAAAACTTGTTCCATTACTTAATGTTGAAATTTTAAATGCATTTGATGACTAAGCAAGCTTTTCATCTTTTTCAAACATCTAACGTAAATATTTCCGTCAATTTTTTTAAAAGAAATTCTAAAAGTTTTTATCCATAGCCCAATTTAGATCTTCACTTGATAAATCTTTGATTTATTAATTATGTGTTTTGTTACACTCGGAAAAAAATGTTTTCATGAAACTTCAATATTTCATTTAGAATACCTTAAAATTGCCTCAGTTTATTTAAAGTTGCAAGCAAACTTAAGTTTTGGATCATTTAAAAAATTATCAGTACTAGTATCAGATAAGAATCCTTGGCTGTCGTCCGTGTTTATGACTATTAGTTCAGATCATGATCCAAATTAGTAACTAAAACTACTTGAAATGCTGTACCTTAATGTAAACTTTTTCGATCACAGTTAGAAACATTAACAATTATAATCAGGAAACTGACATCTAATATAAAAAGTTTTTCATATTTCCGAGCTCTGAAAATAGTATATACTGTGACAGGCAGATAATGGCTATACTTGAATATCCAATTCAAATTTGATAGAATCGACTGAAAGTTGACGTGTTTAACTCTCACTTTCCTACGTTTCTAGACGTATATTAATTTAGGAAATATGACTTTGTCAACAGAGACGTTAAACTTTTATTTATGATTTTTTTTAAAAAAAAGTGGTAAAAGAACTTTAATAATAATAAAAATTTAAAAACATAACAAAAATGAAAAAAAAATCTTGATAAATTTTTAAATCGAGCTATATAATCTTAAGATTAAATTTTAATGAAATTTGTTCATTAATTTGAATTTATCGTTATTAAAGTTGACTCGCTAATTATATAATAAATAAACTATACAAAATTATGTAAATAACAAAATCCACAAAATCACTTACTTTATTATTTTCTTTCCATAATAATACAGTGACGAATTATTTCATTGAATATTGATGTTATGTTGATGATCTAGTTCTGTATAGCCAAACAGTTAAAGTTACGCAGGTGAGGAAAATGTTTGTAAATAATTGGTTTTTTTTCCAATGCCCACCCGATTGGCACTCATCATTCAGATATCAGTACGGGGGCAGATTTGTTGGCCACTCTTTCAGGTGTACCATATAAGTTGGGCTAACGTTTCCCACAGTAATGACAGATAGCAAAAAGAATGAAAGAACATCCAAGGCTTGTGCGGGATTTGAACCCAGTACCTTTCTGATGTGAGATCGGCTCCCTAACCACCACATCCGGTCGGGTAGTAAATAATTGTTATTTAAGAAAATCTTGGTGTTGTTGTTGTTGTTCATTTACGTCGCACTAGAGCTGCACATTGGGCTGTTAGCGACGGTCTGGGAAACATCCCTGAGGATGATCCGAAGACAAGCCATCACAATTTTGATCCTCTGCAGAGGGGATGGCACCCCCGCTTCGGTAGCCCGAAGACCTGCACGCGAAGTCGAGCACTTTACGATGGAACAGTTTAACGAGGACCATTACCGCACACCCTCGGTCCCTACGCACACTGTTCCAAGTGGTCACCAACCCGCACACTGACACAAGTCAGTGATGCTTCACTTCGGTGATCTGCTGAGAACCGTGTCTTAACGATCAGTCCACTGCGGGACAAGAAAATCTTGAATAGAGCCATCATCTTTCTAAAAGAAATATAAAACTTCATTGTTCCTACAACATTTTACAATTTTTTTTCTTACTTCTTAAATAATTTTAAATGTAAATAAAACAAGTTATCTACAATCGAAACAATTGAAATTCCTTTGGGGAAGCATGCTTCGCAGATGGTATTAGTTAGACAAAATTTCGTGCTAAGTCAGGATATCAACAAGTCGAGGGTCAGAGTACAGATAATGCAGCTGTGTTCTTTATCGTATTTCAAGTGATTTCATATAGTGGTACATATACACATGCAGATTTGTGAGCTTGATTACATAAGTGCTGCTTATAAGCTTTAGTCAAGTAGAAAAACATATAGGATAATTTAGAGAAGGATAACACGAAGATACATCAACGCTTACGGCGCTTACGCATCTCCACCACCACCTCCATGATACAGAGTGCTTGGTAAGTGATTCCGATTGACCAGAAAAGCTCCCATTCCAAATGAGGAAAAAACATAGTGTATATGTTACATTTGCAGGTCCCACAGTACTCTGATTGTAAGACACGGTTCCAAGTAGAACACCGAAATTAAACATCACACTATGCTACTTTCAGTGAGCGGGGTGAGTGATCAATTTGATTGTTTATTGTTTATTAAACTCACATACATTTGCAGGCTTGTTTGCGCAATTTAGGCTTATAAACCTTTGTCAAGTAGGAGGACAGATAACGCAATACAGAAAAGGATAGCATGAAGATAAATCCAGGGTAACAGCGGGATTCGAACCCGCTACCTTCTCGCTTTGTACAGTGTTTGGTGGGCTATACCGCTCGCCCAGGGAGGCCTCGTGACCAATTTGATCAGGCTACAAAGGGGCCGAAGGTGTGCGGTATCGGTCCTCGTTAAACTGTTCCACCGTAAAGTGCTCGATTTCACGCGCAGGTCGTCGGGCTACCAACGAGGGGGTGCCATCTCCTACGCAGATAATCAAAACTGTGATGGCATGCCTTCGGATTATCCTCAGGGATGCTTTCTACAAAGTCGTCTATAGCCCATTGTGCGAGCCGCGATGGCTCAGGGGATAGAGCGTTCGCCTTCGAGTGAGGTGAACCAGGGCTCGATCCCAGCGATGGCTGTTCGTTCGACCACAGCGCTGACGTGAAATATTCTCAGTGGTAGACGGATCATGGGTTAGAATCCCGTTGCCTTCAGGCTAACCGTGGGAGGGCCTCGTGGTCTTCCTCTCCATGTAACACAAATGCGGGCTAGTTCCATAAAAAAGTCCTCCACGAAGGCAAATTTTTCTCAATATTTGATCGAGGAGTACCCTTGTCTTCTGGATTGGTTTAAAAATTACAACGCTACGGCGTTGAACATTAGTAATCGTAAGCCAGGAAAATTGGGTCAGCTGTTCAACGACGGTTATAAAATAAAATAAAATAAAATAAAATATCCCATTGTGCAGCGCTAGTGTGACGGAAATAAACAACAACTACTACTACTTAAATTTGCTGAGGGGCCAATCTGGCCGAGCGGTATAGCCCGTCAAACGCAGTGTGAATCGTGGAGGTGGCGGGTTCGAATCCTGCCGTAACCCTTGATGTATTCTATGTGATATCTTTCTCTAAATTGTTCTATGTGATATCTTTCTCTAAATTGTTCTATATGTCCTTCTACTTGACAAAGGTTCATAAGCCTAAATTGCGCAAACAACCCTGCAAATCTATGTAATTTCAATAAAGCAATACATTCGCTGAATCTAGTTTCCCAACGAGATCACGGAGTCATCCAAATGGGAACCATAATTGCGTGAGAGTTCAAAGATATCAGAAATTTTATAAGGCTTGGAAGTAATAAGTTTCTTCCTCAACTTTGGAGTACGAACCTACAACATTCTCTGTTATAATATCTCAGTAACCCTTCACTAAGAAGATTAAGTAGGACTAATTTTAAACTAATACTAGCTACGGAGCGAATGACAGAAAATTTTCAAGCCCGGTTGACACGTTCAACCTGGATCAAGCATACAACTAGGACAAAATATGCGCGCTCATTCACCGGTAGGGAAATGTGATGCTGTTGAAATAGTTGTTTTTGTTTACTGCGATTAAATTTGGAAGCTTCTTCCAAGAAGTTTATGACGTGTTTACATGAAAACTATTTTATATTATTAAGTAAGTGAGAATCACCGAGTTTGTAATTAACGATATGCATTTTTTAAAAAAAATCTATTGTTTTATTTTATTAAAATATTAAACTTTTACTAATGTATCTACAATATTTTTGAGTAGGTAGCAGACTAGTAGATGAGTTTCTGAACTGAGTAATCTGTAAATTGATCAAATTATCTGTGAACAATAAATTATTCTAATATTCTATGCCTAGTTAATTTATTCACTCTCTTTTTATGTTTAAATCGTGTATACATAAGTTGAACAGATATTTCATCTCACTGCTTTCGAACTTTCACATTCACCAGCTATTTTACAGCTTATCTTTTATTGATGTTTATATCTTTTGATTTTTATACAAGACATTTTTTTTTATCATGATAAGCTGTAAATAACTACGGTTTTTGACCAAATTTTACCCTGCATTTTATTAGAAAAATGGGCAGCAAAGAAACGTCAGCGTCAGGAAGAAGGTTTTAATGATTATTGGCGTGTTTTTAAGCTTTCTCTAACTTATATGCCTCTAATGATAAGTTATCGTAGTTTCTCATGTTCTTCGACGAAGTCTTTTTTTTTCTAATAGTTAAAACACCATTATTTTTTACTAATTTTATTTCAAGAAAAAGTTACACATTTAAATAATTGTTTGTTTTGCTCACTTTGGTGAAATAATGTAAAGCAATGTAATTAATGAAAAATGTACAGCGTGAAAAAAAAACGGACCTCCTTTAATAGCTTTTGATCTTCACGTTCTAGGACTTAATCTTAAAGGTTCGAGAGGGTGACCTCAAATATAATAATTAACTAGTGGAGACGATATTTTTAGTTACGAAATCAGACACAAAAACGTACTTTTCTCTAAATAAACATATATTTCTTTCGAATGAATCAGATTTCTTCCGCAATCTGGGAAATTTGATATAGTTTATAAAGTTATGTTTAGGAGTTTGGTTCTTTTCAAAATATATGCTAAAATTTTCTTGCATATTTCTTTTAACATTTTTATTAACATGGATTTTAATCAAGTTTGGATGAACATAAATCTGCCCAAGAAATGTTGAAGGCTCAAATTAAAGATAAACTGGTGAATACTTTTCCTAACGTTCACATTGCATTAAGAATATATTTGTCGATTCTTGGATCAAATGCAGAAGGAGAAAGATCTTTCTCCAAATTAAAATTGTTAAAAAATTATTTGCGTTCAACAATGAATCAAGATCGTTTGGCAACGCTCTCACTTATGAACATATACGCTCATGTCTATTGAATACGACATTTTGCGTAGTTTGGAATTCGACAGCATAATACAAGATTTCGTTGAATCCAAAAAAGTAATATATTAGATCATAAGATTCTGCAAAATAATTTATTACCGAAAAATATTATATTTTTATTTGTATCTTCATAATTTTGTGCAAAATACATTTGTTGTTTTTAAAGCTAAATTATTTTTGTCAACAAATTTTTTTCTCCCAAGTTTTTCGTAGGCCTCTGAATTTCGTAGGCCCTAGGCACGTGCCTAATGTGCCTATATGTTAATCCGTCCCTGGGCACATATTATTCCATGAAAAAAAATAAATTTTAGTTGGTGTTATTTTTTTATTAGTTTATACTAGTCGAAAAAATTTTGAATTGTAAAGCATACCATTTTTTGCGTCATTTTAAAGAATGTATTTTTATATGGCAGAAAACAACATTTGAGCAAAATCGGTCGAATAGTTCCGGAGAAATCAAATTTCAAAAATACAACTTTTGCAAATTATGATTTCGCAGAAGCTGTTCGACCGATTTCACTCAAATCTTGTATTTTATCATTTAAAATTGCATTCTTTAAAAACATGTAAAAGACTGCATACCTTACAATTCAAAAAATTTTCGACTAGTTAAAAATAAATAATAAAAAACAATAAATACTCATAAAATTTATTTTTCGCCTGGAATTATCTGTGGCTAAACGAGTTTAATAATTGTGTGCAAAAAATTTTCAATTCGCTTAAAAATTTCTCGAGTTTGGTGAAATACGCAAAAAGTAAAATTAACATTAAGGGGTTCAAATTTTGGTTCGGTCTCCTGACCAACCCTATTTCCAAGATTGAGGCTTTCCCCTATATTTTACGGGTAAGGAATCCGAAGGAGAAAGGTATGTTTATTTAGAGAAAGTAAGTTTCTGTGTCTGATTTCGTAATTTAAAATATCGTCAATGATTATTAATTAGCATATTT